CGCCTACCAGCCCCCCGTGAAGGAGAACAAGGCCGCGGCCTTCACTTGCAACCAGGCGCATGCCGCAACTTCACCTTGGGGTTCAGGGACAGCTCCGCGACGTCGGCCCAGAGTCGAGCCGCTTGTACTCCTCAAAGCGGTAGACGGGAGTGCCGTCGGCGTGCGATTCCGGCCCGTCAGCTCCTGCACCGCGGGGAGGAACTTCTTTGGGCAGGTTCTGGAAGACCAGACAGTCGGTCTTCAGAGCGACGGCGTAGCGCGGTGGCACTTTTGCTGAGGTGGTCGCGGATCCTGGCGACGGCCACGTGCTCCGCAGCCATGACGTAGTCGTGGAGGGGCCGCAGCGTGAAGTTGCTGTGGTCCCAGTGCACCTTGCTAGGGGCGTCCGTGAAGGTCTGGCGCCACTGGCAGCCCTGGACGTCCAGCTCATGGTTGCTGGTGCGCATGGAGAAGACCAGGTCCTGGTTGCGCGCCCAGAAGCCGATGAGCGCGTTGACGCTCAGCTTGGCCATGTGCTCCTCGCCCTCGGGCCAGGCGTCCTCCTGTCCAGGGTGGTTGTTTTCAAGCGTGGGCAGTTTCTTCGGAGTTTGGTCGAACCTAAAGAGACTTCAGCTCTCATGTTTTGAAACCCAAGCCACCTGCTTGTCTCACTTTTGGCACGTTGTCTTCTTGGCGTGCATTTCGCATTCCGTGTCGCATTCTGTTTCTGCATGTATCTCTGTTCGTCAGATCCAATTCCAGAACTTTTACATTGAGCTTTTTGCAAAGAACTCTCCCCCGCAGCTCAGAGCGTGTAGACTTTGTTTTGTGTTTGTTCACATCACCCAAATCGCATATTGCATGCGAAGCGTCTTCTGCAAGCTGGAAGAAGTGATTGTAGACCCGTGTCTCTTTGTCTTGTAACTGCACGTTGTGTTAACGGTGGTTTGTCCTTACAAATTGAACTTTGCTTACCGACTCTCAAAGCCAATGCTTCTTGTGCAAAAACACTGCAAGAAATGTGTCTTCGACAGTTCCAGGTCAAAAAATGTTCCAAACTTTGGACCCTCCAAGAGCATTTCCTTCAAAGAGCCTCTTTTGCGTTTGGATTTGGTTCAATTTTGGGGTTTGTTTCTGATTGATTTTTTGTCTTTTTCCAAAAGTGTCTGCAAACTTGTGGAATTCGCTTGGATTTCCGAAATCCATACGATAAAAATGGGCAATACCACACTTTCTTGTCGGGTGAACCTCATTTGTTTCCACAATATCAAAGATTTATGTTTTGGCAAGAGTTAACAGACGCAATGCAGAAACCATCGAAAGAACAAAACTGAGAAAGACATTGACAAAAGGCAAGGAATTTCACAAGAACAAGCTTTCTGAGTGACGAAATGGAAAGATTTTGTTTCCGTGCTTTCATCTGGCCCAAACTAAACAAAGAGACACTGCTTTTGCTTCAAGGCTTTCAAGAACAAAGCTCTCTTAAGAACACGTTTTTTGCATCATGCAAGCAGAAGAATCCAGAAAACCCATCAGGTGCCCGTCCCGACAGCACTCGATTGAATCCAGGGGACTGAAATCGCACTTCGCCAGCTTGCAGACCGGGCGGGGGGGGCGCGGGCTCTGCACGTAGGCTTCGTGGACGCTGCGGCAGACGCGGCTCTCCACGACCTGGCGGGCGGCTGCTACCACGAGCTCACGGAGAACCGCCGCAGCGATGAGGCCATCTTCTCATTCCTCCAGTGCCTGAGGCGGAGGAGCCGCCGCTGCGCGACGCGCTGCAGCTGGTCTGGGAGCGCTTCCCCCGACGAGGGC